GGATGCTGGTTGCCATAAGGGCAGGATTTGAGAAGTACTCCCTAAGATCCCGTCAAGCTCTTCTTTATGTGCTATGAACAATAATTTCACAAGATCATCGAGATTTTCTTAATCGTAAGAGAGTAGTTCAGTATAATCCGGGGTTGCCTAGCATCACATTACTCAAATGGCCAGAGCAGTCTCTGATTCTGAAATGCACCCCCATTCTTTCTGTTGTTTCCCCTATCAATTTGAAAGTTTCAGTTATCCATTGACAAACTTATTGAATAACAACTACCAACCAGGTACAGAGCTGCATACCGTGGGAATTTTTTACCAAGCAGAATGCCTTCTCCCTTAGAAGTTTACAATCAAGTTGTAATAACAAAATAGATTTCCTTAGATAAGCAACTAACAAAGCAGTAAACAATAAATGTCAAAAGAGTATTACAGATAATAAGTACAATGAGGAAGCTAGGGGTCTGTGTTTCTCTGCTCCAGTACCGCCTTATATATCCAGTTCTTAGAGCAATTATCAATTGTAATTATTCACTTGCTATGTCTAATTTACCTGCCTGTCTCCTTCACTAGAATGTTAGCCCCTTGAGGACAAGGATGCAATTGGATTTGTTATTGGACCCTCAATAGTTAGGGTGTTGTTGGTTATATAATAGATACTTAATAGATACTTAATGAATGAATGAGTGAGTGAATGAAGAATGAATGCTAATGGAAAGCAGTCGTCAGTATGGTAGAATGGCTACTTTGTGGACTTAGGCTCTTAGTCTCAGTGTCAACTATACTTTTAAAAAGCTGTATGGTTCTGACTATTTTATCTGATTTCTCTGTAGTGTATTTGCCCATCAGTGAAATTATAATAATAGCAGCTTGCTTTTTCAGCTAATTTTACTAAGGTACAAATCACCCCCTCCCCCCAAAAAAACTAATGACTTGAAACTAGTCATTTATTTAGCTCAGGACTGGGTGGGTAAGTAATTTGGACTATGTTGGGTCTCCTATTTCAGCTTAGCTTGTTCAGACATCAGAGTTCAGTTCCCTGGTAAGCTGGAGAATGCGTGGTCCATGCGGCATCTTATCTTCACCAAGCTAGTGTGGACTTTTTCACATGGCAGCTGGAAATAGTGGTCCAAAAGAGTTGAACTTGGCAGAATTGAAGAATATGAGGCCTCTTGAAGTTTAGACACAAGTCGGCACAAAGCTACTTCTGGCATGTTCTACGGTCTAAGCAAGTTATACGGCCAGCTCACAGTTAAGGAGTAAATTCCATTTTAAACAGGAAAAATCAGAAAAGCCACAATTTAATGGAGGTGTGAGTGCCAGGAGGGTGAAGAGTTGGGGCCATTTGTGCCATCTACCACCCTTTCCCACAGGATTAGTCAGCAAATTAAGGAAACTTCTGAAGGTCTTAGAATAGAGTCCACCATGCAAGTAATAGGCTCAGTGAGCAAAAGCAGTTATGATCCTGTTTAAAGTTGCCTGCCAAAGTTTCATAGTAGAAGGAAATACGAGCTTAATCTTGAGAGATAGATGAGGTTTCTCTGTGTGGAAAACCAAGACCTCTCATAAAAAAGCAAGATTAGCCATAGCAGCTGTCGTGTACAAGCGGGCATGTCCAGAGAACAGCTAACACAACGACCTGCCCAGAAGAGCTAGCACTGCCATCCTAGGAAACTGAAATGCTCTGAGGTCAAGGCGGAGAAGTTGGAATGGACCACGGAGCAATAATAAACCCTTAGCTTTTGCCTGTTAGCCAATAGAACAATTTCTTGTCTTTTGTTGTTACTTCAGGGTTTTGTTCTTTTAATAAGCTTTAATAATATAACTTTGTGATATCTCTAGTCTTGTCTGCCCAAGATTCAAAACACGGCAAAAACTAGGAACTTGTAAATTGTATGGGTTTTGCCACTCCCTGACATGGAGAGAGCTATACGGTCCTTCACTCAATTTTATTCCATCTATAAAAATGAATGATCCCTTTATCTATCCATTCCACAATGACAGCAGTCTTAAAGGTCAGGCCCCATGTAAGTAGTATTTACTAACTAAAAGGAACACAAGGGGGGCCAGGCTCTGATGTTTATACAATTCAGTGATAACTCACAAATCTGAATCAGAAAAGTCAAGAGTGAGGAAAATAAAGTTTCAGCGTGGCTGCCCTTTAAGTTAAGTCATAAAACACTTCTAGAGCTGCTCTAAAGATAATCTTCAGTTCATCCAGTCCAGCGAGATGGTCAGGAGCAACTGGAACCACTGATATGCCTGGATCTCTGCCATCTTGAAGGCTGACCAGACTGCTCCATGCTAATGGCAGCCCTACTGGACTGCTCGGTGGTGATAGTTTCAGAATCTTTCCACCCGTACATAGTTTAAATGCAGATTCACTGATGAATAATTTTGATAATTCTGTCAAAGTACGAGGGCTGCTTGAATTAGATGACTACATGATTGTGTTTTTTTTTTCTCCAAGACAATTCTGGCTTCTCTTCTGCCATGTGAAATCCATCCTGCTGAGTGCTCCTGACTAGTCACGTCCTTCCTGCCATTTTAAAAACAATAGTGGCAGAGATGCAAGCTGCTGATAGTGCTCAGCAGGACAGATCAAACACACAGATGCAATTTCTGTACGTTGAACAGTGAAGTAGGATAAAATTCAAATACTTACAATCGTTTAGTAGCTCTCATCTGATTGCTGTAAATTGAATCTTTCATAACGGGATTTATAGTAAATAGCATCATATCATTTGTGAGTTCTGCAATAATTTCAGTTGGAGCCAATGTAATATCGGAGGTGTGAGATTTACATGATGTATATGCTACTTTATGCACAGATTACGAAGGGATTGTTTTGTTATCGATATTATTTCTAATTGTTTACAAGATAGTCATAATTATAGTTTCTTTCCCTGAAATGTTAAGTATTATCAAGTAGGATAACTTTTAAATGCAAAAGAAAACAAACTCGCTTCATTTCTACATCTGCTTTAGAATTGCAAGCCTCCAGCCCTGCTTTTCCACATACTTGTTAAATAAGCGTTAAAATTATGGTGATTAAAATTTTGAAAATATGGCTTTTATATTTGTGAAGAGCATCAGTCTAGTAACCTAGTAATTAGTGACCAGTATATTCCATCAGTAAAAAAAGAAATTAAAAATTAAGATATTTTGAGGCCTACAAAATATAGTTTAACTCTTTATGATAAAATGCAAAGATGACAATAAGTTAAGTGATCAATACTATAGTAGTGAGCTTTGGATTTAGTTCCAAATACTTCATAGGAAGTTCATAAAAGATCAATATGAAGAACACAATGCAAAAATAGTACTTTGTATGTATGAGGATTTGATGGCACTCCACATTCTTAGTTGATAGCTTTAATTGCTAATGATCCAGAACCCCCAAAAAAACATTATCTTATAGTCATGGTCTTGCTGTTCAAGACCCCATAAGACGATTCAAAAAAGAAAAAGTAAAAATAAAAGCAAATAGTAGGATCAGAAGATCTGAATAACCTATTCTTTCTTCCTCCTGCTCTAAACAAAAACACAACAAACTGCTTTCTCTTATTTTACTACATATTGGGGCTTTTCTGCTATAAACATGAATATGCATGTCAACAGCATCTGAATAAGGGAACCTTTCTCCCTGATAACCTAGGACCTGGACAGAAAAGGGCCTTTGTGAGGGGGAATGCTTCAGCTTTATCCTTCTTTACTTACTTAAATATAAATATCCCATATGCATGTAAAATGTATCATTCTAGATGGGAAAATCCCTGTTTCTGAACCTCAGAATTTTCAGCTCCCCCCCTCATAAGCAGATGTCTTTCCATCTCTTACAAATCAAAGGGGAAGGTAAAAAGACAGCTTTTGGGGGGTAACCTGATGTGTATTTTAATAAGCTCACTAATCAAAGCACGTGTAAATTACAGTGAATCATAGTCATACATTTAATAGCAAACAAAATTCAATCTAACTCATGTCCAGCTTTCTTTCATGTTTGTTTTATTCAAGGGCATACCTTTCTTTTTCTGCTTTCTCTTCTCCCTTTCTTGGACACCTCCAACCCCCATTGACAACTGAAATGCAGGGCTATAAATGTAAGGGCATAATACATCATGAGATAAGTCTGGAGAACATGTTCTCTACCAAAATGCACATGAATCTCTGGTACAGCTAAAATCCCAGAAACATGCTGAGGTTCATTTCGCATGCTAAGCAGAGTCACAAGTGTGAGCACTGTGATTGCCCTTCTATTTCAGGTGGACTCCAAAGTTGAAAGGTTGCCTTCGTAAAATTGCAGCTGGGCTTCCTGGCACTTGATTCCAGCGCCTGTAAATCCAAGACTCGTCATTGAAATACAAATCTGACAGTATGATAATCTTCCAAATTGAAAAATGTGATTTCCGAATTCCTCCCTGTTGAAGAGCTGACAGAGAACTTCAAAGGTGATTTTTTTAAACCATGCAAAATGATACAGAAAATATGTTTCTAAACAAGACCCTGAAGCTTGGATAGGGTAGGGAAACAAATGCAAAGCCAAGGACTGTCCTCCTTGCTTCCGACTACCAGAGCTACTTCCCCCCACCCCCAGGTTGTATACTTAGCCACTCACCTCTTAGGCAAGGGCCGGTGTCTTCCAAGATACCCTCAAACCCCAAATACCAAGACAGGATAAAGTGGCATCTTAGCACACTTTGAGATCAGACTGCTTCCGCATTTCCTAGTGTGTGGGGGGAGGGGGGTGGAAGGGAAAAGCAGCATACCAATGTAGTGAAATCTGGAAACAACAGCTTATATACAGACACAAAAAAAAGTTTGCATATTGCACAGAGCGCTTGAAGATCATAAATCTATGCATGAGAAAGATGTAGTGGAAATTTTGGGGGGGATTAGAGTTTATTTTTGTCATCTCTGTGAGACAGCTACTCATTCATCCAGATCACAGCTAAGAAAAAAGCTGGTCACAGAAATTAGCAGTTTCAGCTCAGCAGCGAAGTCGCCAGCCTGTGAAGGCAGAGAGAAATTGACTAATTAGCAATGCGCACTAAAACTTGACGGTTCTTTATAGAGAGAAGAGAAGAGAGAGGGAGAGAGAGGGAGAGGGAGGGAGGGGGGGCTCGCTTTTTCCCCTTCTTTCTTCCAAAGATGTTTGAAATCGCAGTCATTTACGCTCGACAATTTTTACAATAGCCTTGAGCCATAATTTTGCGAGTCTCTCCAGCATCCATCCCCCTGTATGGTCTCTCTCTACTGGCCAAGCACGACCGTTTCTCTCCCCAACCGTGGATTTCCTATTACTCTCGTTACGACTCACTGAGCCCCAGGCCCAAGGATAATGATGTGTTGTTTCTTGGTAGCATAATTTGTCACACGTACATTTTTTCTTCTTCTTCTCTTGCAGAAAGCTCTGCTCCCTCTCTCTCTCTCCCCCTCTCTCTCTCTCCTCTCTCTCTCCCTCTCTCTTTCTCTCTTTTCTCCCTCTCCTACATTTTCTTGCTGTTGCTAATTCATGGTGATCAAATGATGTACGACAAAATAAATTGTAAAGAGTGACTGCCTGGAGTTGGGAACCAGAAGGTGTTTCCCCCCCACCTCCCAAGGAGAGAGCAAACCTCTTAAAAGGAAGGACAATTGATTTTTGGGGGGAGCTTAAGTGAGCCTTGACTTTGCAGCTGGTTGACAGCAGGTAAGTTTCTGGCCTTGTGTCTGCCTTGGGTGTATTTTTGTTGTCTTTTGGGTTCTTGGAGGGGGTAGGGAGTCTTTGAAAGGGGTGAGGGGCAGTTATGTGGCAAAGGCTTATAAAGAATAAAACTCCTATGGCAAGAAATAGGCAGGAGAGTGGGAGGCAAAGGAGAACAAGAAGGAAGGAGAATTGGAGAAGACGGGGTGGGGGGGCGAGACAACGAAGCGGGGAGAGCGCGAGAGAGGTACGACCAGGGCCACTTCCAGGGAGACTCTGAGATGTTTCCGGCAAGCCGGAGCTTGGGGGGCGGGGTGGGGGCGCCGCCGGGGGAGGGAGCGCGAGGGAGGTTGAGTCCACCTGGCACGGGATGGTAAAGTGAGTCGAGAGGAGCCGGTCCGGCAGAAATGGGAAGCCGGCCATCCGGGACCGGCGGCAGGCAGGGCAGAGTGAGCCGCAGAGGGAGGAAGGCAGGGGCCGGTCCGGCGGGGTCCTCGGAGCCGGGCGGCGGCGGTGGCTCTCCCGGGCCGGCCGCGGGATGCGGACAGGGGTCCCTCCCGTTCCGTCCTGGAAGGTGCAATCACAGGTTAAGGACCCGGCGGGTGGATCTCGCCTCGCCTCCCCCACCCCGCCCTCCTCCCCGGGATGCGGGCGGCTCCGACTTCGCAGAAGTAGTTCCAGGGCCGGGGAGTGGGGGTCTCCGAGCGTGGGGGCCCTGGGGAGCTGGACCCCGGGGCTCGGAGGGGAGCCGCGGCTGCCGGCCGCGCGCCGCCTGCGGGGTGGCGAGCCGCCGAGACCCTCTCTGTTCCGCGCCCCGGCCCGGCCCGTCGGGCACCCCACCCCTCCCCCAGCACTGCCTTCCAACTTGAACTTCGCGCAGTTGCCGGAGTTCAGGCGACGGCGCCCGCAGCCCGGGAGGGAGGGCCGTGCACGCGAATTCCTCCCGGCCGCGGCTCGGGCGCTGCACCCGCCCGCGTGGCCCCGCTTCCCCCACCGCCCTCGGGGCGCCCCGCGCTGGCGGGGAGACGGGGTCCGAACTTCCGCGCCGGGCGCTGCGGGAGGGGAGTGGACTGGGACCCAGGGGTGAGGCGGGGTGCATGGAGCTCCTGCCGGGTCTAAAGGCGTCTCTGGAAAATTAGCAAAACTGAGCGGTGACGGGGAAGCCTGGAGTTCGCGAAGCGGGGAAGCGGGCAGCGCCGGGCGAGGGAAATGAGCTAGAATTGATAAGGACAGCTCCCGCCTCTGCGAGTCCACTGAGCTTCCTCACCGCGCTCCGCTGCACTTGCCCGGGAGAAGAAAGGGCTTTATCTCCTACCTCAGACTATTAGCCTAGGACTTTCTCGGGGCAGCAAGGATAACCGGAGGGGTTCCCGCTTTCGGAGAGCCAAGAATCCCCCCACTTGCACGCCTGTCTGGCCCCCTTTCCTACCAGCCACCCCCCCAAAAAAAAAAACTGGGCCAACTACAAAACGCACAGCTTCCAGCAAGAGTTGAGCCGGAACCGCCGTCGGTCGCCTCTGCGCTCTCGGGGCGCCCCGACTCCCGGCCTTCCCCTTCCTCTGGCCCGGCATGGACAGGAGCTCACGGGGTGTCTCGGCCTCAGCCTCCACTTTGCCGTCGTCGCTGCCAAGGGTCGAGCCGGGGAGGTTTTAGGAAAGTGAGGGGCAAGAGTGCAGCAGGGCGCAGGGAGCAGAAGGGCGCCGGACCCCAGACCGCGGATCCGCTGGGGTCGGGGTCCCCAGAGCGCCGGGAGGGGCCGAGCCGAGCCTTGATTGTTGTTCTTCGCCCTCCCCTCCCCTTCGCACCCTTCCCCACCGCACCGACCACACCCCACCCCTCCGCCACCCTGCTCCCTCCCTCCCCCACCCGTCTGCCAGGTTGGAGGAGGGTTTAAAGCCAGGTGCGCTGAGTCTGCTCGCCATGTCCAGATCCGGGGACAGGACCTCCACCTTCGACCCCAGCCACAGCGACAACCTGCTGCACGGCCTCAACCTGCTGTGGAGGAAGCAGCTGTTTTGCGACGTGACCCTGACGGCTCAGGGCCAGCAGTTCCACTGCCACAAGGCCGTGCTGGCCTCCTGCTCGCAGTACTTCCGATCGCTCTTCTCCAGCCACCCGCCTCTCGGGGGAGGGGTCGGCGGCCAGGACGGCCTGGGGGCCCCCAAGGACCAGCAGCAGCCCACATCGCAGCCGCAGTCCACCCAGCAGCCGCCGCCGCCGCAGGAGGAGCCCGGGACTCCTTCCTCCTCCCCCGACGACAAGCTGCTGACCAGTCCCCGGGCCATCAACAACCTGGTGCTGCAGGGCTGCTCGTCCATTGGGCTGCGCCTGGTGCTCGAGTACCTCTACACGGCCAACGTGACCCTCTCCCTGGACACGGTGGAGGAGGTGCTGTCGGTCAGCAAGATCCTGCACATCCCCCAGGTCACCAAGCTCTGCGTGCAGTTCCTCAACGACCAGATCTCGGTGCAGAACTACAAGCAGGTGTGTAAGATAGCCGCGCTGCACGGCCTGGAGGAGACCAAGAAGCTGGCCAACAAGTACCTGGTGGAGGATGTGCTGCTCCTCAACTTCGAGGAGATGCGCGCCCTGCTGGACTCGCTGCCGCCCCCCGTGGAGTCGGAGCTGGCGCTCTTCCAGATGTCCGTGCTGTGGCTGGAGCACGACCGCGAGACCCGCATGCAGTACGCGCCCGACCTCATGAAGCGCCTCCGCTTCGCGCTCATCCCGGCCCCAGAGCTGGTGGAGCGGGTCCAGTCAGTGGATTTCATGCGCACCGACCCTGTTTGCCAGAAGCTGCTGCTGGACGCCATGAACTACCACCTGATGCCCTTCAGGCAGCACTGCAGGCAGAGCCTGGCCAGCAGGTAGGAGACAACAAAGAGGAGGGCGGGGTGGGGGGGGGAGACCGAGAGGCCGGAGGGAGGGGAGGACGCAGGGAGCGGGGAGAAGGTTGGGCTGGGCAGGAGGCTCCCACAGGCTGAAAACAAACAGCAACAATTCAGACGACATGGAGAAAAGTTGATTTCAGAGTCCCTGAACGGTCAATAGGGAACCGGCCTAACAGCATCTCTGGACAGGAAGAAGCCTAGCTTCTCCACAGGCCAAGAGCTGTGGGCTCAGACTGAAATTGGCAGGCAGGTGGGGCCAAAGGCCAAAGACCTGAGAAGTGCAGCTTTGGAAGCCTCTCCGCCCTAGCCCTCCTTCCAAAGTCTCAAGGTGGACTTGCTTAAGGAAAAGGATTCTATAATAAGACCCTACCCTTCCTCTCTTCTGTCTTGGGCCAGCAGAAGTGCCCAGAGGATGCTGGCAGAGGAGAGCAGTCCTAGTCCAGCACACACTCAAGTTGGGTTTGTTGTTTGTTTGTTTTGCTTTTTCTCTTGATTGAGGCTGACTCCCTTTGGAGGTTGAAACTCCAGGGTCTCAGTTGGAAATGCTGGCATACTGTGACCACATGAACTTTTCCATCTTGCAGAGAGCCTTTCCTTTTCACTTTTCAAGAGAGAGCAGAGTAAAAGGTTTCAGGGCGGTAGGGTGAATGTTTCCATTCATTTCCATCTCAGAGATGAGTGCAGTTGAAAATTGGGAGGGGGGGTCTCCTGTTGGTTTGGGAGCCCCTCTCTTAGTCACAAAGGAGTTACAGAGTTGTTGATGCTGGTGTTGCCATTTAGAATTGTCTATATATGTGTTGCACATAGGATCTCATGTCAAAAGGGAGAAAGAAATGATACCCTTTTAAAATGCTGCTGAGATGAAAAGACTATAGGAATTGACAGTTGCGTTTTATTGGCTCCAATTTTTAAATCCTTTTTAATGAGCCCTAGCAAAAGGTTTCTTTCTCTCTTTGGAAAAGAGAAACAGTATCCGCTCAGTTTCTGATGATAAAGCATCATGAATCCAGATGCTAGGCTACTTCAGCCTAAGCAGCCAAAGTGGTACACGAAGAAAGTAGGTGCTTTAAAATTTGTCATGGCAGATTCTCATGCAGGCTGGTGCCTAAATCTACTTTGCATGGCTTTATGGAATTCAATGAAAAAGTTGCAGGATTTTTTTCATTATGTTTCCACCAGACCTAGGTAACTGAAGTTTTGAGGAATGGAAGATACTATCTACAGTTGTTGAGGCGCCACTAGTGTTAGGGTGAGGTCAGCAGGAAGTATAAAGAATCTCACAAGTTGATTTTTCTAATATCTATGAGACAGAACTAATGTCTTGTGGTCTCAGAAGATGACTATAAGACAACAGCAGGATCCAGAATCCCAAATCCACTCGTACTTGAACCTTTAGCACAAGAGTCCAAGTTAAGAACAAGGCATGAAATGTGTTTTTAGTTTTTAAGTTTTTCAGTGTGCCCAAAGATCAAAATAACAAGCTCAGTGTGATGGCTATTATTACCCACCAGTGGGCATTGGTGATTAACATTCTGTTGTTTTCATTTTTATCACTTTTAAAGCACCTACAAGTATACTGCGTTTAACATTTATCATATAGTCTATCATACAGCCATCATACAAGGATTCAGACTACACAGTTATAATCCTGAACAGACTTGTTTTTTTGTATTTTTTAAAAAAATATATAATATAGTATAAATTCAGAATCCCAGAGGGATAATGAAATTAAGATTTGATTTGTTCTAAGAATAATTTGGGCAGATGAGCTGTATAAATATATAAAGCAATAAATAATTTCTGGGACCCTCAATCCACCTTTAGCTGTATGTCCCAGGATTCAATGTTAGGAGAGTAGACTTTCAAAATGCAAAATCTATTTCCTACCTGCCTCTGGATTCAGCACACTAGCTGGGGCCTGCTGGCTCTGTCCTGGTGGATGCCTGAGAAACCAGGCTGCCTGGCTCCGTGACGACACCTTCCAGCTTCACTGGCCCACATCATTTGAAGGATATGTAGTGGTGTCTGACCACTGAATGCTTACAAGTGTCATGGATGCTGCAGGAATCTGATACTTCTGTGGTAGGAAGAAAACTGTATTTTCCTTCAAAAGAAGATATAGAAAATAAACTAGTTCATGGGAACCTATTGTTAATTTCAAAGTTAATATCATTTAGATTTTGTTACATTATTAGCAACTGTACCATTTCAAATTTTAGGGACTAATCACATTATTCTAATTTTATTTCACAGGAATAATACAAAACTAACCATCCAAATCTTAACTTTAATGTAGAAAAAATACTTCAAGTTGCAAATCAATAGTATTAAATGAACCCATTTATTATAGCATCAGCATCATATAAAAATGTTTTCCCAGCTTTACATGAGTTTAACAAGAGGATAAATGTAGTAGCTTATTGCTTTTGAGATTACATCACTTACTGAAGACAATTGAGTGGATGGACATTGTGCTTATTACTTTTTATCCACCTGTAGTTTTTAAAGTCTAAATACGAAAACATTCCTCAAATTCAAAGAAGGAGACTGGAAACTAAAATTGACCAGTCTGTTGGAGTGAGTACAAAATATAAGCAAATAACTTCAAAAACATCCACTTGTTTAAGAATATATGCTATCCACAGAGAGAAAAAATATTGCTATACTAACAATAATTTAAACATGATTGTAAAGATTATTAAATCACTTTGAAGTTTTATATTCTGGAAGAATAAAGCATCCCAAATTTAAGATCCTTATGCAAATATTCGAATCAATTTAAATTTTGCTCTAGCTACTGAATTTGCACTCAGATTCATATTCTAACAAAATTAAGACAATAAATAAAATAAAATAAGAGACCTGTCACCTTGTATTCAAATACATACATAAGTAATTTAACATTGCAAGACTTGACAAAGGATTAAAGTTTCAGTTAGAAGGAATAAGTTTTATTGATCAATTACACAACATAGTGATCATAGCTGTTAATAATATATTTCAAAATCACTAAAATGTTAGATTTTAAACATTCTCACCATCAAAAACAAAAACTGATATGTAGATTAGGTGACTGATATATTGACTATCTTGATTTAATTATTCTATAATGTATATGTATAACAAAATATTACACTGTACCCTCAATATGTCCATTTATATCTAGATAGATAGACAGACAGACAGACCAATAGATAGATAATTTCACCTGCAAATTAATTTTTTTGAACTTTTAAAAAGATTACAGGACTTGAGGCAAAATTAAAATAGTTTGAAGTCATTTCTTGACTATTTTCTTTTTGTTATAAGGAACACAATTTGGAAAGGAAGTAAGTTAATTTTTTTAAGTTTCTATAAAACAGTATTAAAGTCTTCCATAGCATGAAATTGTAATTTAATAAGATAATTTAATATGCAATCCTTAATACATTAAAAAGTAACTGAAGATCTGTATTGTAAGCTATAGTCTTAGAATATAGACTTGGATGTTAGTAACTTAAGTATAAAAGACTTAGTTATCTAATTTACCTTAAGTAACACAAAAAGTTTCCTTTATATCTATTTTGTGCATTTCAATGCACAATTTAATAATTGTCCCAACTACATCAAGCTGGAGATGAGTAACTTTTGTTTACATTTTTCACTGTACCTCACAAACATAATGCGGCAGTTAAATGCTTACTAAAAGTTGAATAAATTAAAATTACTAAATAGGAAAGATTAAGTGATACGCTTCACCAAAACATTATTCAATCTAAGTAGTGCACAGAACAAAAATCCACTGGACCTTCTCCAGGAAAACACCTGTAGCAGAAAAACATTCATGAAAATGATTTTTTTAAACATTTAACCACCACTATCCAGGCCTACATAGAATTCTATAAGGAAATGTAGTTTAAAGAAATTATATTTTGTAGCTAGGAGGCTACCATATGAAGATTTCATTTTCTATAAAAGCATACTGTATTTTAAATTTTTACATAAATTAATGTTAAAACCCATTTAAAATCATTTATTTGCTAAAAGGTTTTGGGATGATTAAAGGGCCATAAGATTTCTTTTTTGTTTTTTGTTTTTTTTTTTTTTTTTTGGTTTTTCTCCGGTACCGGGAACCGAACTCACGACCTTGCGCTTGCCAGGCAGGCGCTTTGCCGCTGAGCTAAATCCCCAGCCCCGGCCATAAGATTTCTTAATGCACGGGTTTGATCCCTGGCTTTGGTGCTTAGAGAGTGTCTCTTTAAATATAGGACAATATTTTCTATTGGCTCTCTTCCTAAGAACTGAATAGTAACCTTAACAAAGCAAACTAATTTTGTATCCATGCATTCTCTTAATTGTTACTTGCCTTTATATCAATTTGATACCCTCAGATTAGAAGTTGTTAGGTAGTTAGATTTTGTATCAGAAATTACTCAACCATTCAGAATACAATTTGTTTATTACCTAAAACAAGATCATTGATTACAAAATTATATCATAAGTACGGGAGCCAAACAGTTATATCCTACAATCAAAAGGCAATTAGAGTAGATATTAATGCACTTTATTGGCATAGATGACTTTTTGACAAAAGCGAACATTTTAAAATCTTATTTCACGGTTATATTTTTTCCTATTTATGAACACGTTGGGGCTTACTCATTAACTCAGTTAATTTCTAAGTGTTTGAGTTTTCTTAAAACTACAGTAAAAACTGTGTCACCTTATTTGCAACAGCTACTATATGCCAGATGATACTCTAAGCACTTTACAACCTTTTTTTTTAACATCCTTATAATAGCCCTAAGGAATAACCACATTACCCTTCTTTTACAAATGAAACAAAATGACAGATGCACAGAGAAGTTAAGCATCGTGCCCATGACTACACTGTTAAGCCTAGGCAGCAGGGCGCTGAGTGCATTCTTATACACTGTGTTGCTTCATCTTTGCTAGGCGAGGTGGAGATTGACCTTAGTGTTATATGTGGACTTCCT